TGTGAGAGTGAGTTTGTGTGAGAGAGTGAGTGTGAGAGAGTGAGTGTGTGTGTGAGTTTGTGTTAGAGTGAGTTTGTGTGAGAGAGTGAGAGTGTGTGATGAGAGTGAGTGTGTGTGTGTGTGTGTTAGAGTGAGTGTGTGTGAGAGTGAGTGAGTGTGTGAGAAATGTAGCATTGCATCAGTGTCTCAGCAACGGATGCTCTGTAGTGAATGGGTGCCGTCAGAATGAGAGTCCAAACATCTGGAGAAGTTTTTAAACCTTTGCTTCTTTCCAAAAATGGCTTGTAAACAGTGCTTGATCTGATTCCGACCAAACCACGTTTTCACTGGAGGAAGAGTTATTATGGATTATAAACTATATGGTATTTGAGTTAAAAACGTCTTAATGCTGGATTTGTTTCAGCTTTTGTCTTCTCCAGATGTTAACTGATGGACTGGAGTGCTGTGGATTATTGTGATGTTTTTATCAGCTGTTTGGACTCTCATTCTGACGGCACCCATTCACTGCAGAGCATCCACTGCTGAGACACTGATGCAGAGCTATACAGATCTGATGAAGAAACAAACTCATCCTGATCTTGTATGGGCACATTTTCATGTTTGGCTGAACTATTCCTTTGAGTCTAGATGAAATTTTTTCAACAGCACTGCATTGAAAGTCACTCACAAAGTGATCGAGGCCAACCAAAACATTCGGAGGCTTTCTGAGAATCCAGAAGGAAGGAATGAGAGAGGAAAAGCACTATTAGGCCTCAGACTGTTTGAAGTTCATGCAGACAGTTCCTGCGATCTATAAAGTGTACAGTTTAATCATACTGTGCTTGTATGCATGTGAAAAGAATTACTAAGTTGTTCTAGTTATTTTGAACTTTGTCTCAGAAGAGAGTTGAGTCGGTCTCAGTTTCTGAAGAGAGTAGCGGTGCTGTTGTCTGACCACATGTTTTGTGCTGAGTGCAGGGTTTGTCCGCAGAAAGCGGTCTGATTATGACTAAAGCATAGCGCAGGGGTGACGTCGTCTCGTATTACTGAACGCTGACCTGCTGGAAGAGTTTAGTCAGAGCTCACATGAGTCTGACCTGTTCATCGAGCGCCCACTCGCTGCTGCCTCCTGCTCTTTATGTGCTTTAGATTACCGTGCAGTCGTATAATTGTGCTGCTTATGCTCAGAACTTGTTCATGTTTCTCTAACAACACAAAGATAGGGTGGATCTGAGCGAGAGGATCAGAAAGCCAGCTAGTAATGCAGCTGTCTGTGTCTGTCAGTGTGTTACAGACCACATGAAATCAAACCTGACTCTTGTGACGCTGTATGCTAATGCAGAGGGTTTCAGACATGTTTGCCTTCAATGTCTTTACTGAATATAAAGGCAATTATATGTTTTCATGAATAAAACTGACATTCAGAAGTTTGGGGACTTTTAAAAATTTTTCTGCTCACCGAGGCTGCATTTATTTAATCAAAAATAAACAGCTGTTTCTATGTGAATATATATTAAACTGTAATTTATTTCTGTGATCAAAGCATCATTCCTCCAGTCTTCAGTGTCACATGATCTTCAGAAATCAGTATAATATGCTGATCTGCTGCTCCAGAAACATTTCTGATTATTATCAATGTTGAAAACAGTCGTGCTGCACAATATTTTTGTGGAAACTGTGACGCATTTTATTTTTCAGGATTCACAGATGAACAGAAAGTTCAAAGAACAGCATTTATTTGAAAAATAAATCTTCTGTAACATTATAAACATCTTTACTGGCACTTTTGATCGATTTAATGCATCCTTGATGAAAAAAAGTGTTGATTTCCTTTTAAAAAAAACCTTACTGATCCCAAACTTTTGAACTGTATATACTATTAAATAAACAGGACAAGTCCACCCAGACTCCCTGTTACAATCAGAAATGTGTCATCACAGAAAGAAACCAGAACATTTCATGTGGTCTTTAAGAGGCTGGTCTTCACAGAGAAAAGAAGGAAAGAAAGAGGAAATGAGAAAAGGATGTGAAAATTGTGACCAGGCTTAACAGGATGCACCGACGTGTAAAATTAGATATAGAAATACCCTGGTCAGCAACAAAGTGACCATATAAGCCATGCGTTACAGCAGGCAAGCAAATTCTATTGCATTTCAGTAAATGTGTGAATGTTGGTCCACTTCTAATCGGCTAAATGTAGCAGACACGACTTCATAAGAGTGAAACTGCATGATTGTTTCAGAACTGAATTCACCACGTGATTATTCCAGGTGTGAACCGAATCCAGGAGCAGTGTTTTAATATCTCACAACTATGAACAAGAAACATGGCTGTCTGTACTTTAACGTGTGTGATGTTAATTATAATATTATAGTATTACTGACTGGCACTTTTTTTGAAGTTAAATGCATTTGTCTCTCGCACAGAGAGTGAATTTAACTGTTGAATAGAGTTGAATAATTAACCAAAATCATTCATGAAATCATGTTTAAATCATTCATACAGTCTTCCTTACATAAATTGAACAGAAACATGTGCTGCATTCAAGTGCACTGGGGAAGCCTGGCAGATTTTTATTACCACGTTTAAGTCGAAAAAATAATACATTTTTATAATAATGTTTATTTACATTATTTAAGTGTAAATAGCAAAACAACAACTACCAAATTGTATGATAATTATCCAGCTTAGTTGTCATAACAAATGGAAATGTAAGATTAAATACAAAAAAAAAGTAAATTAAAAAAGGGAATATTTAAATATGTAAATATATATATGTGGTAATAAATAAATGTAAAAAATACAAATAAATGAATGCATAAAGTATACAAATAAAATTAAATATAAATGAATAGTAATAAGTACAAAATGCAATAATAAAGTTAAAAATAAATGCAGAAAAGAATGAATAAAGGGAAAATGCGATACAAAAAAAAAATCAGGACTAAATTAAATATTAATTGTTTGTTTTATTTATGCATTTTATGCAATTTACGGCTGTCGTAGCACCTTTTGCAATAGCGCTGAGAATGTATTTGTGTTGCGCTAATATGAATTGAATTCTACACATTTTAGCAATCAGCGCAGTTTGAAATCAATTTGTGAAGCTAAAGGCGTTCATCCTACTTTCATGAGGTTTGTGGCCTAAATCAGTGTCTGACTTGAACACGAGCACCTAGATCGCACAGCTTCTGTGGGACGTCTGTGTTTGCATCATAATGGAAAGGTCCAGATCCGGCCATGAGTCATACAGCATTAACCCTTTCAACCTGGCGAACTTGTCAAGCGTGGCGTGCATGTGTTTATATCCGTGGTTAACCGCTGGAGATGTTCTGTGTTTTTAGTCTTTCTCAGTCACTCAGGTTAATCAGTCTCTCTCTGATTTTCCCCGCAGTGCCGTGATTGAAGGAGCTGCCCTGCTGTTACACACTCACACACTCGTCGTGGGATCACTCACACACACACACACACACTCGTCTCAGTATGCTGGCTCTCCTGCTGTGTGCTGTGCTGGCTGTTCACGCTGACGGTGGGTGATCTTCTGCTCCCTACATGCTGATTATAAGATCATAACCTGTAAACGTGAACCACACCGGAAGATCAGGCCCTCGTTAATGCCTCCACAACAAACAAACAAAGGCAGGAATGAATAAACAGGCCAGGCCTACAAAATCACGGGGAACTACATACATACGTTTAGTTTTATTTTTGCAGGTGCCTTATACGGCCATTCAATATTTTAATTCATCAAGGATGCATTAAACTGATCAAAAGTGACAGTAAAGATGTTTATAATGTTACAAAAGATTTCCATTTCAAATAAATGCTGTTCTTTTGAACTTTCTGTTCATCTGTGAATCCTGAAAAATAAAATGTATCACAGTTTCCACAAAAATATTGTGCAGCACGAATGTGTTCAGCATTGATAATAATCAGAAATGTTTCTTGAGCAGCAAATCAGCATATTATACTGATTTCTGAAGATCATGAGACACTGAAGACTGGAGGAATGATGCTGAAAATACAGCTGTGCATCACAGAAATACATTACACTTTAACAGAGATTCACAGAGAAAACAGCTGTTTTACATTCTAATAATATTTAAATTTTTTACAGTTTTTACTGTATTTTTGATCAAATAAATGCAGCCTCGGTGAGCATAAACGACTGAACAAAAACGTACAGATGCCAACTTTAGAAAAGTAGTGCATGTAATTATAATAATAATAATAACCATCATCATCGGTATTATTATTTATAAAAATATTTTTTATGATATATATATTTCAATTATTTTTTTAGTGTTGGTTAAATGTCCAAATACTTAAAAATATGTGTAGTGTATACTGTCTAAACTTAATACATAACAGAAAAAAGCAGAAAATAATATTGGAAATAATCCTCCTTGAACTCAAAGAGATTTTATTACATAAGAAACTACTACAGAGGTGTCATTTCGTTAGGTCACATGCATCTAAAATCATGCATGACATTGACATGTTCTGAAATATCAAAGTTTGCACAGACAAAAAGCATGAAAGTATCTGTGAAATTTGGTTTTATAGATGCTCGGCGTGAAAAAGAGATTTTATTCTTCCCCATTAAAAGTCCATTAGAGGCTTATATGGCATATCCTTAGTTAAATTTGCATAGTGCATAAAGGGATTCTTGCGTGAATATTATAAAATTGAATCCAAAATGAGCTCTTTAATTGATTAATATCTGCCTCTCTGCTGGTAAAAACTTTAAAACGGTCTCTCTAGACTTTATACGAATACGAAGACTATTAACAGCGGCGTAAAATGGTGAAGGTCAGAAATGTGCTGAGAAAAGTGAAAAAAGCACGTCTGTGATTTTTAAGGTTATTCCTTATAGCCCTGCAAACCTGAAGAGAAAAGAGCGAGGAGGACAGAAGAAAGGTTTTCCTGCTTGGGCTTGTGTTTACGTTCGTCTGCGGATGAAAACCAGCGCTCGGGTGTGGCGTGTTGGACTTAAACCACAGTTATGACTAGCTCTTAGTTTAAGCTCTATTGTAGGACTGTGCTGGAAAAATACAATCGAAGTTTCTCAACTTTTACCTTTCGGCAGAAGAGCATAACTCAATATACAAGACATGAATTGGCTCCTAGGATGTATGAGCTCATATGCTTTCATATCATTCCCAGTTTCTCCATTTTTCTGTATTTTCACCACATATATGGTACACAAGTCGGGCTTGCAATCGGACGGTTGCTAATGTGGTTTCCTAAAACAGCGAGTCCTGAGCAGACGATACAGAGCTTGCCACATTTTACAGATTTTTGTGGAAAATTTGTGAATATTAACCTAAAATGTGTTGAATGGAAGTAGTAAACTCTTACTGGGGATGTGGGGCGTGTTGAACGAGTACTGCACAATAAATCAGTTTGATAGGATTCTTAAAGGAACAGTTCACTCAAAACTGAAAATGTGTTCACTCTCAGTTCATCCGAGATCAGGATGAGTTTGTCTCTTCATCAGATTTGGAGAAATGTAGCATTGCATCAGTGTCTCAGCAGTGGATGCTCTGCAGTGAATGGGTGCCGTCAGAATGAGAGTCCAAACAGCTGATAAAAACATCACAAGTAATCCACAGCACTCCAGTCCATCAGTTACCATCTGGAGAAGACAAAAGCTGAAACTAATCCAGCATTAAGACGTTTTTAACTCAAATACCATTGAGTCCATAATCCATAATAACGCTTCCTCCAGTGAAAAAGTGCATCTGCTGTTGTCTCTCGCATCAAAATCCAGCCACATATGTGTTTAGAGCTGTTTAAACGCTGCTTGATCTGTGCAGATTTCTCTCCTGATTCACACCAGAACACTTTTTCACTGGAGGAAGAGTTATTATGGATTATGAACTCGTATTTGAGTTAACAACGTCTTAATGCTGGATTAGTTTCAGCTTTTGTCTTCTCCAGATGGTAACTGATGGACTGGAGTGCTGTGGATTACTTGTGGATTATTGTGATGTTTTTATCAGCTGTTTGGACTCTCATTCTGACGGCACCCATTCACTGCAGAGCATCCACTGCTGAGACACTGATGCAATGCTACATTTCTCCAAATCTGATGAAGAAACAAACTCATCCTGATCTCGGATGACCTGAGAGTGAACACATTTTCAGTTTTGAGTCAACTGTTCCTTTAATATCTCTTCATAAAGTGAATTGTAGCATTAGTGACATCTTCTTGAGCACGTGAGCAGCTTTAATGCCATTTAAAGTTTTTATGCCATTTTCACCTGGTCAGTGGTGACGGGACACAGCAGGTCCAGGGAGACTCAATCACCCGATCCGATGATAAGTGCATCATGTACTCGCACTAGGGCACGTGTCCGACCGAATCTCACGCACCAGATCATAGCTAAGCCCCTGCAGTGTGTCTTGGCCTTAATAAACCTCTTGTTATTTTTCTCCAGCTTGGATGGATTTGCTAAAGCATAAGTGGATAGAACTGGTAATTAAAGCCAAGCACACCATAAGACAGAAGCTCATTGCACTTTGATGATTTAAGTCTGTGACAAAAAGCCCCAGATTTTAGCAGCATGCGCCTCATCAACACTTTTCTGAAAAACACACTTGTGAAGCACACTGCGACTGATTTCAGACTGGTTTGATGCTGATCTGTGCACAGTAGGGCTGCACGATTAATCCGAACAAAACTGAAATTGCGATATGGCTTACCTTATAATTAAATAAATATATGTAAATATACTGTATGTTTGTGTTTCAGAATGAAATGCGGCTCTGTGTTCATTCACACATGAGCAGCTCATGATCCACCAGTGTTTTCAGTGTCTACATTTTTATTGAATACTTGATTGTTTTTTTTATTTTATTTACAGTGAAACATTACTATTGTCTTATTTTGTTTAATATTTTTATTTAGTGAGAATTTATTATTATTATATTATATATTTCACTGTAAATTAAAAACAATCAAGTATTTAATAATAATAATAATAATAATGATTATTGTTGTTGTTTTTATAGTCATTGATATATAACTTAATCATAAAATGTCACAATGTTTATCAGAAAAATCACGTTTTACCTGTTTCACTTACTTGTGGCAGACAAATAAGCTTCAGATTAAAGGGTTAGTTCACCCAAAAATGAAAATTAGCCCATAAATTACTCACCCTCAAGTCATCCTAGGTGTATATGACTTTCTTCTTCAGACGAATCCGGTCGGAGTTATATTAAAAATGCTATTTGATCTTTCAAGCTGTTTCATGCCACTCAGCAGGTGTTGCATGCATCAGTCCAAAAGAAGTTAAATAAAAAGCGCCCATCCATAAAAAAAGTGTCTCACACGGCTCCGGGGGGTGAACAAAGGCCTCCTTGTTTTGTTGTTGTTGTTGTCGTCGTTGTTGATCTTATGTTGTTGTTGTTGTCATCGTCGTCCTCATCGTTGATCTTGTGTATTGTCTTGTTGTTGTTTTTAATATCGTGTTGTTGTTGTTGATTCTGTTGATCTTGTGTATTGTTGCGTTGTTCTATTGTTGTTGATCATAGCGTTGATGTTGTGGAGCTCCAGGCTGTGAGGTTGTTGTTTTCCCTGAGGCTGTTGTCTGTACAACGACACACTGTACTGCACATAAGGCTGAATGAATACAGAGCCACGCTCAACTGTGTGCGACTTCTCTTTGATAATTTCAGGCTTAAGGCAAGATCATCGGTCCTTCACCCAGATTAGCTCCACACCTGAAACCGAGACGATCATTCATGCATGTGCTTCATAACCTTGTGCTTCACTACTTGGACGATAATACCATTTTTCTCCATGAGCTAGTATTATTTTTTTCAGTCTGTGTAAATGTATGCAATATGTGCTGTTTGTATATTACAGTAAAACCTAAAACTTGAACACTGTTCTGCTGTTCTAGTTGTCTTCATGCTCCTGTTCTCTGTCCTGTTTTCAAGTGCTTCTCCACTTCATTTGTCATTTTGTAGAACTGTCAGTCTCCATCTCTTCATACACACAGACTGTAAACACACACTGCTGATTTTCTGCCGTCCGTATCTCTGCCAGAGCCTCATCTACATCAGCTGAAAGAGAGCTTGATATTTATGACATGATATTTACACTGTGGATGTCATTATGATTTGACGATATCATCCTATCGGACCAATAAAGGCCTTTGAGCAGAATGTCATCTCATAGAAAGAGAGGAGAATGACACGCTGAGCTGTTATTATGTTTGGACAATATCAGAGCCATAAATCTCATTCACATGGAAATCAATCTCTCACATACAGAGAGAGAGATGATTCGATTGCCCCTGTGTCTGTGCTCTTATGTGTGGTCCAGTGTTACCCATGATTCATTGGGATGATAATGTCACTGAGGTGACGCTCTACCGCTCCGTCAGATACGTGGCCTTGCAAATGACTTCTTCTGTAGGCCGCTGACAGTGAGAATTGAAAATCCAAAGGAGATTTTGAGTGTTCATTTGGAGTTGTATTCTGTGT